CATTTGTCTCTGTACTAGGGTGTTGAAATCACCAACTTTTCCTCCAGTTGGAACAATGGCCTGGCTTTCTGTGCCCTCATTCATCATTTCTTCCCTAATGCATTTGACTTCAACTCACTGGAGGCTTCCAAAAGAAGATACAATTTCACTTTGGCTTTTGACACTGCTGAGTAGGATTTTTTAAAATTTTGTTTAACTATGCTTGACCTTGACCAACAAGTCATTTAACAACAAAATGTCTTAAGAATACTTTAAATATTTACAAATGGGTCTAACCTTGATTATAATTATGGATTAGGACCTGTTTTAAAAAGTCTATATTTGATCAATAATCACCCAATTTAGATGACAATAAATTCTTACAAGTTTAACATTCTTTAAAACAAAAACAATGAGCCAATTTAAATTTTCTGTAACAAGTGACTGGTACTGCCCAGGAATCAAAATATAACTATGTTTATGACCTTGTTAAGTTAAGAGATGACCAGTGCTTTTTTTGTGACAGTCCGCACCGGTACGACGTATCAGCACCTTTTTGAATGTGGGGAAAAAATTATTACTTTTCTTGCATTTTAACGTTTATTATTAATGTAATAGTAGTTAAAAGTTAGGCAATCCATCACTGAGTACCGGCACCTATTTTTTTTTACAAAAAAAAAGCACTGGAGAGGACTATGAATCATATCATATAAATGAGATAGTAGCTTGGACATTAGGCTTTAATGATGTTACCCACAAAGCAATTCCCCTCTCTCCACACAACTATCTATCCAAAGGAACAGTAAGTGCTGATAAAGTTTGGGATCAGTGGCATTGAAAGCTATGCCAGGGTATAGCACTGTGTGCTGCTAGCTTCCCAAGGGTTGCCAGCTCCTGATTTTTCCACAGGGTCATTCCAGAAGCATTCCCCATGTTTGGTATAGTTGAAAAAAGGCAGCAGACGTTTGAATTCAGAGTTTTCCTTTCTTAAGCTGGATAGCCAAGGCCCCTCTTGGCCAAAATAACATGTTTTAAATGTAATGTAAATAGCTTTAAACTGTCAGTGTTAATTTATACAAAAACAAAAATGTCTTATCTTATCTTATATAATACAGACGTTACTTCAAAAAAGAAGATGATTACGTCCTACGCGTCATGCATTTAGTCATGCATATTAACCAATGACTTAAATTCTGCCAAGTCACTGGTTTTTCTGGCTAGCTCAGGCAACCCATTCCATGCTCTAATAGCACTAGGGAAGAAGGAGTATTTGTACAAATTTGTCCTAGCATAGGGGACAAGGAATGTACCTTTATTTTTGTGTCTTTCAGAGTATTTTATTAAGTTTTGTTTTTGTATTTGAAGATTATGGTTCAGTGTTTTATGTATAATTGCTACTTTACTTTTGAGTCTTCTGTCCTGAAGGCTTTCTAAATTTAGTGATTTTACTAATGGTGTTACTCTAGTCAAATGTGAATATTCGTTTGTTATGAATCTCACTGCTCTATTTTGTGTTTGTTCCAGTTTCTTAATGTTTTCTTGAGTTGAGGGGTCCCAAACGGTGGATGCATATTCTATTATTGGCCTAACCAAGGTTAAATAACATTTTAGTTTTATGTTCTTATTTGATTTATAGAAATTTCTTTTAATAAACCCTAATGCTTTGTTGGGTTTTTTTGTAGTTTCATCAATATGTGGATTCCATGACAGTTTTTCATTTATTATAACACCTAGGTATTTGCGTTTTTAGTCTGTGTTACTGGTTTGCCATGAATAAGATAAGTGGAATTAATTTGTTTTAGTTTTTTTGTTACTCTTAACAACTGACATTTTTCTGGGTGGAAAGACATGCTCCAATTTGATTCCCATTTCTGTAATTCATCTAATTCTCTTTGTAAAATATCTGTGTCTTGTGTTGTTTTTATTGTTCTATATATTATGCAATCATCTGCAAATAATCTGACTTTTGTTCCTGAACTAATGCAATTTGGTAAATCATTTATGTAAATTAAAAATAGTAGTGGACCCAAGACTGTTCCTTGAGGTACACCTGAGTTTACTGTTATTGGTGTTGATTTAGAGCCATTTATTATTACAGTTTGTTCTCTCCCTATCAGAAAATCTTTAATCCACTGATGCAGTGGACCATTAATGCCGAAAGATTTTAATTTTTTAAGCAAACTATGGTGGTGAACTTTGTCAAAAGCCTTGGAAAAATCTAGTAAAATAGCATCTATTTGTTCACTATTATCTAAACCTTTTGATAAATCATCAATTAGTCCTATTAGTTGTGTTTCACATGATCTATATTTCCTAAAGCCATGTTGGTATGGGGTGATAACATTATTTTGTCTAAGTGGTTTATGATGTTGCTACATATTATGTGTTCTAGGATTTTACATGTGATGCTGGTAAGTGATACTGGTCTGTAGTTTCCTGGATCAGATTTTTCTCCTTTTTTAAATAGGGGGGTGGCATTAGCTTCTTTCCAGTCCTTTGGTACTCTGCCCTGGTTAAGCGATGCCTGAAAGAGTATTTTGAACACTGGGACTAGCTCATTGCTTTGAGTAATCTAGCTGGAATACCATCAGGTCCAGACGCTTTATTTGGTTTGGTGTTGGATAATAGTTTTTGAATTCCATTTTCTTGTACTACTAAATCTTCTATGTTGTCTACTTGGTTCAAATTAAGAAATATGTCTTTGTCTCCTGGGGCTGAGAATGCTGATGCAAAGTATTTGTTTAGGATGTTTGCTTTAGTTTCATTATCATTATGTATTATGTTATGTTCATCTTTTAATGGCACTATGCCTGTTGTTTCCATTTTCTTAGACTTAATGTATGACCATAGGTTTTTGTTGTTATCTTTAGATATTACATTGTTTATGTATTCACTCTGCAGCTGTCTGCTTACTTTTTGGGTTAGGTGTTTAATTTTTATATACTTTTTGTGAACTCTTTCTGCCTTGGTTTCTTTAAATTTTCTATATAGGTTTTCCTTCTGTTTACAAAGCTTCTTTAGTCTATTAATAAACCAGCATTTATTTATTTTGCTTGATGTGTATTTAGTTGGTATATGATTTTTTATAATGCTTTTAAGATGGTTTTTGATGAAATTCCAGAGGTCATCGACTGGTTGGTTAATGTCTTTTTCTAATAAGAATGTTTGTTGAAAGTTTAATGCAGCTTGGTGTAGTTGTGTTAGGTTACATTTATTCCAGAGTAAGATTTTTCTTTTGGGTTTTGTATTGGCTACTGCTTTTATCTGGCTGTGTATTTTTATCATCTCATGGTCTGATAGACCAGGGATAATATCATAATCAACTACTAATCTAGGTCTGTTGGTTAAGAAGAGATCTAATGTGTTGTTTAATCTAGTTGGCTTTTTAATGATTTGATCTAAACTTAGGTTGTGTAAAGTTTCTATGAAAAGCTCATTTATGTCCTTAAGGTTTTGGTGTTTATCTATGGTTAGTGTTTTCCAATTTATATCAGGTAGGTTGAAATCACCCATAATCCAAAAAACTGCATTTTTATTTGTCTCTTTAAGTGTAGTAATCTGATTACATAGTTCCTGCATGTATTCTAAACTAGAATTTGGTGGTCTGTAAGTGCTGCCTATTATTAGGGATGTTGAGGTGGTATTAATTTTACAAAATGTAGATTCTATATTTTTGGAGTTAGGTAAGGTAATTTCTTCTGCTATAAGAGTGTTTTTTATTGCTAAAAGAACTCCTCCATGATTATCAGCCCTATCTTTTATAAAAATTTCATAATTACTATTGAAAATTTCTGCATTATAAATTTCAGGATGTAGCCAAGTTTCTGTTCCTGCAATTATGTCTGGTTTCTCACATTCTAATAAAATTTCTAAGTCTGCTGTTTTGTTCCTAATGCTTTGAAAATTTATTACTAAGGTTTTAAGGTATTTTGGTATTACTTCTTTAGTAGGTTTGTTTAGTGAGGCTGTTGTATTAATTTTAGTAGATTTAGGTTTAACAGGAGTGGATCTGGCTAGTGGTTGGTGAGTTTGTTTTGGGATGGTGTTTAGGATGTTGTATGGGTTAGAAGTGTCCGCATCAAAGGAATCAAACAGTCCTGATGTAAACTGAGGTAACCCACACGGTACACAGTGCCATGATGCATCTTTGTTGCCTAAGGCATAATATACAGGTGTATTCATATGGAGACATGATGCATGGTACCATTCATCGCAGGTGTCACATTGAATGGCTTTCTGTTTCATGGTGCATACTTTTTGCAGATGTTGCATCTATTGTAGTGTTGTAGTTTTATTTTCAAATAGTGAAACTGATTTGGGTTTTTTAGCCTAAGCCATTTTGGTAAAAATCTAAATCTGCTTTATGACTTACTCTACCCTGGACTTTGGGAAAGTTGATTTCCTTGGGACTAGTTGGGACAACTATGTAGTATATAGATCTAGTGATTATTTCCTGAAGGTCTGAAGTCTAAACCTCAATAGAGTGTGTGGATTTCAAGATAATTTTAGTTTTAAAATGCCAAATATGCAAATGATAAAGTTCTCATGTATTCTTCACCATCACTTAAGTCTGCAAGCACAATGGGGACCAAAATAATAGCATAATAGAACAGCTTAAGAGATACTTAAGACTTTATCTTCATCTGACTGCTTAATCATTAAGGAAGGGATGTTCTGGCAATGCTGATTCATCACAACATTAAATCTCCATTCTTGATTTATCTCAAGAAAACTTTGAAGGATAATGTAGTCTAATCCTTGACTTCATGCATATTTTTTTTCTTCCACCTTTTATGTTTGTGGGTGTCTGTGTTTTTTTTTTATGAAATATGTTTTAACATTTTTTGTTCTCAATATTTGTTTATAGGAAAGAGGCTGATATTGCCCCATTGCTGGATGTGGAGGATATGGTCAAGATGAAAAACCCAGACTGGAAATGTGTTTTCACTTATGTTCAAAGCATTTACAGGCACCTCAAGGACCATGAAAATAATAAAGCCAATCCCATTGAACAGTAGACGTTTACAGAGCCTTAATACTTTTGAGAGTTGACTTTATATTTGGCTCTATCTTTGTTAGATTCTGACTCAGAAACTGTTTGCATAGAATACCTAAATGTTGATTTTTTTTTTTTATTTAACAGGGTAAAGAAAAAAAAAGAAAATTAGTCATTGCACTCTCTAGATTCTTGCACACACTGTTGCATAATAGCTATTTCTTAGTTAATGTTTAGCTAGTAGTCTAGATCTTTTTCAACTTATTTTTAAGACCCATTGAACATTTTTTTTTAAATAAATAAGACAGGAATTGTAAAGTTATATGTCCAACATAAAAGTTGAATTTTTTTTTTTGTAGAACTTAAAAATTGTTGGGCTCATATTTAATTTGCATTTTTGTATTTCACTTGAATGTGTGTACATTTTACTCTATAATTCATCTTAATAAACTTAATTCAAATTCACTTATAGAGACTTATAAAACTATCAAACTTATGTTATGCAATGTCATAGTCATGTGTATTTAATATCTCTCTTTTATTGTTTACATTTATTTGCAACAAAAGCTTTTATTTTTGTTTCAAAGTTAACTGTGATGACTGTTGCTTCTTAAGCAATATATTTTTTATACAAAACCATTCTGGGTTTGTTTTTTTTTACATTTTAATAGTTTGAAGAACTTTTTATGACATTACCACATTAGATAAGTTAGAAGAACTTTTATGACATTACCACATTAGATAAGTCTAAAGAACTTTTATGACATTACCACATTAGATAAGTCTGATTTGTAGAGTTTATTGTATTAGTAGTCAATAAAGTGTTAAAATTTACTAAAATAGTGTACAAAAAAAATTACTAAAAATTTTCTGTCACTTTTTATTTTATACTAAAAACTTTTCTGAATGAGAGTCTTCATCTTCTAGAGTATTAGCAAACTTTTTTTTTAAATTACAGACAATTACAAAAACCACCTAATAGATTACATTTAATGTCTACACACACAAAGCTTTCAATAGCTACCAATCAATACTTTCATTGATACTATAAGCCACCCAAGAAAGGCTTCATTTATAGAAAGTATTTGCTAGCTTTTGTGGAGACGTAGTTATTGTAGTTGAGTTATCTGTGTAAGTGTGTAAGCTGCTCACACAATAGTTCAGAAGTCTGTACAACTGTTTCTAGTTTATTGCATAGAATGTTAGAGATATTTGGTTGTCTAGAGATCTTTGGTTGTCTAGAGATCTTAGGTTACCTATGAATTTTTTAATATTGATTCATACAATTATCATCTATCAAATTTGAAAACACTTAAATAATTTATTAGAAATGTTTTAAACAATGTTAAATGTAATAGTTGAGGGAATTATAACCAGAGACTTTTTTCATTCAGCAATCATTTTTGTCAAAAGAAGTAACTACCATATCTGGTCATAGAAGTTGAAAACTTATTTATGTCAATACATTTTTTTTATCGTTCTTCAACAAAGTAAAAAAAAAATTAAAATACTTTTCTATCATTCTGTGGGTCAACTCACATATGTTTCATGTAGTTGCCAAAACTGTTGAGTTCTGGGGGTTTTTCTTAGAAATCATTCAGAAAATACAGGGGTATTTTACAACAGAATTACTTTATCTGCTTTATTTTTTGCAAATGTTTGTTTTCTTTAGTTTCCAACTCTGCTAATATCTATCCTATTGTACCTATGCAATCTGTAAATAGATTGAAAGAGTCATGACTGGTCATGGAACATGTTTGTAAATATTTTTGTGTATGCTCCGAATACTCTACAGCCTCAAGTCAAGTCTGTCGCGTTGTCTGTATGATCAGCTGTGTATTTATTCTCTTATTTCACACATTTACGGATGCATTTCTGTCACTGCTGAATCTGAACTGTACATGCTGAAGAGTTCTTCCCACTACAGTGTACTGGTTGACAGAATGTTTCTTCACTAATCAACATAATCTATAATCAACAGATACAAATTATTTGTACAGAAATTAAAATTGTTTTATATTTTAAAATTGAAAAGATCCTTAAGCACTTACATAAAATTGTATTAATTTAACATTCTCAATAGAAGTGAGTCCTTGTTACTCTTGTTTCAAACAAGAAATATCTATTTATATCTACAACCGAAATTGTTATGGCTCTAGAGTTAAGATGTTTAAAAAATTTAACTTTCAGTGATTATACTAGATTATTTTCTTTAAAGTGATTATACTAGATTATTGTAATTTTATTATTGCTGGTGCTTACATTTCTATTGATCTATACATTTGTTTTATACATTTGAAATAGTAAAATATATAGTCATTGGTTTTTAATCATTGAATTTCTTGTTCTTTTTTATTTTGTGTGGTCACATGTATATCTGTTTTGAAACGTTGCATAGTAATTTAATTGTTAGTTGTTTTGGTTTAAAAATAGTATGAAGACTTTGGTAATTACATCATAGCCTTACATCTTTATTTACTTTTTGGCTTTAGAATACATTACTTTTTATTAAGAAAGACTATGGGTCATCTTGTACATTATAATGAGATGAAAGCCTGGGCATTAGTTATGGTCAGAATGATGTCACCCATACATTCGCCTTCTCCGTGCAGTCAATGTGTCCAAAGGAATTGGAAATACCCAATACAGTTTGGAATAAGTCCCTTATATAGTATGGAAATAAAGTCTTTTCTGAATTGTTTACTTCATTGTTAGTCTTCAAGTTTCTATCTGAACATTCTTTTTCTAAATTAGGTTTGTTTGCATCAAGTTCTTTGAGATGATTCAGCATGGCAATACATTTTTTTTTCTTGCTCGGAGTCCTAATAGCCTGGTCAGCCCTCTCTCTTCTGGCTTGTGCACTGAGGCATCACATTACCCTAAATCTGTCCAAGATCAATATTTTCTAATTCTCTAATCAAATTTAGATTAATTTATTTTTTATACTTTGAACATTATAACTTCTTCCGCGCACCCAATAGTGGTATCTTTGAAGTTGGCCCACTCTTCTTCAAGGGTCAATATATCTGCAAGAGCCTCAAAGCGGTTCGTTAGTTTCAATTGGAACTGTGCTGCAGTATTGCCGTCTTTAAGCTTCTCTACATTAAATGGGCGGGGTCGTGTGGCTCGTTTTGGTTGGCGTTTCAATCGGAGCTTACATTTGCCACTGACAAGGTAGTTGTCTGAGCCGATATCCGCTCCTCTGCGGGTCCACACGTCTAACAGAGATGACCTCCATCGTTTGGAGATGCAAATGTAATCTATCTCGTTGAAGGTTTCTCCATTTGGTGATCGCCATGTTTTTTTGTGTATTTGTTTGTGCTTAAAATATGTGTTTCCAATTGAAAGGCTGTTGGATGCACAGAGAGAAATCAAGCGCTCGCCATTATCACTGATGTTTTCTGCAGAGCCATATGGTCCCATTATATATTCAAAGCCAGTTCGGTTGGGATTGATTTTGGCGTTAAAGTCTCCCATCATTAGAATTAGGTCGTGAGTAGGTGTTTCATCAAGAGTGGTTTGTAGTTGGTTATAGAAATTATCTTTGATGGTATCTTCTGCATCCTCTGTAGGGGCATATGCTTGGATGGTAGTGACTTTGATTTGCTTTGTTTGGAGTCGAGCTGTAATGATGCGGTCACTGACCGGCTTCCAAGCAATTAGCGCTGAAGCTGCTATTTTAGACTTGATGATTCCTGCACCACCAATGTGCTCCTTATCATGTCCTGAATATATTATTGTCTTGCCATCATTGATTATTTGTCCACTTGATGTCCACCGCATCTCGCAGATCCCAAGGATGTCCAGCCGGTAAGAGTCAAACTCTCTTATAAGTTGGGCCAGTTTACCGCATTGATTCAGGGTTCTTACATTCCACATGCCTATAAGAGTCGGTTTCCTTGCGTTGAAAGGCTTGCCATGTATCGGGTATTGGACTTCCAGTTGGCTTTGATCCAACACCGTCATCAAGGTTTGGCCACCCTTGCCACATGTATAGTTTTCATTATGTGTCGAGTTTGCTGTTTCTGTAGCAATAGTGGTTTTACAGGGTGGGGTCGCTAGCCCCACGCCAAACCCTCCTCCTTTTTCACCCGGGCTTGGGACCGGCAGATGGCGGCGAGATAAACGGGACTGGATTGAGCAGAAGGGACAAGAGGCGCAAGCAGAAATGACACAAAAACCCTCCATCGTATTGTCCGAGATCTCACTGGAGCAAAGAGTGGACATGGGGCACCGATAAAAGACAAGCAAGGCAAAACTTTGTTAACGAAAGAAGAACAGAATGCAAGATGGGTAGAGCACTTTAAAGAGACCCTTAACCAACTGTCGCCAGACCTAACTTACATATTCAAGGACCCCTCTCCAGACAATGATCTCAAGGTCAAGACAGACCCAATAACTGCTGAGGAGGTCACCATGGCCATTGCAGTGTTAAAGAATAACAAAGCACCAGGGCTAGACATGATATCAGCAGAAATGCTAAAATATGGGGGACAGTGCATTGTTAACAGAATGACTGATCTCTTAAATCTCTGTTGGCGAACTTCAAAAGTCCCTTAGGACTGGAAAAAGGGAGTGATTGTAAAAGCTTCCAAAAAAGGGCAACTTGGCAGACTGCAACAACTGGAGGGGCATTACTCTCCTCTCTGTCCCGGGCAAAGTTTTCAGCACTGTTTTGTTGAGACGGCTTCAACAGTCTGTAGATGAAAGGCTCAGAGAAGAACAAGCAGGTTTCCGAAGAGGCAGATCATGTACAGAGCAGATTTTCGTTCTACGAAATATCATAGAACAAAGTCTTGAGTACCAACAACGGCTAACGATCAGTTTTGTGGACTTCAAAAAAGCGTTTGATAGTGTCCACCGAGAATCACTATGGAAAATAGTTAGAGAATACGGTATCCCAGAAAAATTCGTCCAGATCCTACGACACCTTTACAGTCAATCTAGTTGCTGCATTAAAACAGAAGAGGGAACAACAGAGTTTTTTACAATCGAGACAGGGGTGCATCTTATCTCCCTTCCTTTTCCTCCTAGCCATCGACTACATAATGAGGAGAGCAATGAACCAGACTGCCTTTGGTATTCCATGGCATGAACAGCTCCGATTGGACTTGGACTTTGCTGATGATGTTGCACTACTCGGGGCTACAAATAAATGCATTCAAGAAATGACGGAGAACCTAGACAGAGAGGCACCCAAAATTGGCCTCCACATAAACTTGGATAAGACTAAAATTATGCGAGTGGGATATAAGGCAAAGGGTGTCCCCGTCAGACTTGGCGAGTCAAAGCTTGAAGAGCTGGACAAGTTCACGTACCTTGGCAGCATCATAACAAATGATGGAGATGCTTACCATGATGTAGAGTGCCGAATAGGAATGGCAGGGAGCATTTTCCAAGGGCTGCAGCCTTTTTGGACTAGCCAAGCCATTGGACTCGAGACAAAAATACACCTTCTCAACACAATCGTCATTCCAACTGCTACATATGCATGTGAGACGTGGAAGTCATCTGTCAAAATTGAGAAAAGACTCAATGTGGTTCAACAGAGATGGCTGAGACAGATTTTGGGAGTCAATTACACAGATCGGGTCTCAAACAAGGAAATCCTATGCCGAACTGGGAGTCGAACACTTGATGAGGTTGTGACTAAGCGTCGCATGAGGTTTGCGGGACATGTTCTACGTCAAAATGAATTACGCACAC